CAAGTTTAAACTTGCAACCATAAAAACAAATTAAAAAAATCCCTCTGGCTTGTTTTTCACCATAACAGCCAATCAAATTAAACTTGTTAAAGCAACAGGAAGAATAAGATCAAGAAGATCAAGGTACAATGAAGAAATTCTTAGTTTTTATAAATATATCTATGTCAGTAAGAAATTTAGACAGCTGACAACTTGCTCTGAATTTTTAGCTTTCATTTCCCATGAACAAATATTTGCCCCTTTTCCTGATTTAGTGATGTAATAGCAATACTGAAACACATGGCATGCCATCAATAAAATATGTCAAGAAGAAAAGTATTATATAGTATTAGTTTTAATCTACTTCTAAGGCAGGTTTTACATTTCAACAAAACAAGAAAAGCCCTTCCCTCTCATTCACCTTAAGCTTAAAGAGGATCCAGAAAGGTAAACACAATCCTAACTGCAGAGGAGACAGAGGGAAAACTACAGAGATCATATTTAGAAACATATTTACCTCCCCACTATCATCTCTGTGCATGAGACACCATGCTCAGCATCCACGTGCAGACACTGAGCTGTTTATCCCCAAACAGGCCAAACCCAGCAATGAACAGAACAAGTAATACAATACTGCATTTATGAAATTTTGTTAAAACTGGATATCCATAACCTCATAAAGAAACTTTTTAAAGACTTTTCAACTTTACTGCCTGTATCTTTAAAATGCAGCATATTTTTCTAATTTGTCTTCTACAGGGCCTGGGTGAAGGGGAAGGGAAAAAGCTGTTCTACATTCATTTAAATTATTTGCAAGATTCACTTGTAGCAATGAAGTCTTAATTAATCCACAAAATCCTGCTTTAATTGCAGTATAACTCCAGTGTAAAATGGCCTCTGCATTTGATTATATTTCTGAAAGACTTACAAACTTAATTTCATATTATTTTAACTCATGGATAAGTTTTAAGCAGGTGCTTTATGAAAAAGTAAATGTACGGATATAAAGACTGACTCCTGTCCTCCACTGAATGCTCTTCAAAATCCTGCTGTAAATGATACTACACCTGCTGAAGGGCTCCTTCTGGAGAAGAGCACAAGGAAAGCAGGCCTGAGCCCCTTTCTTACCGTTGCTAAAGATGTTAAGTAAGATGGACAGCAAAAAACCGACTTATGAGTTCATTACTTCTCTGTTTATTCAAATTTGTCTCTTTTTCACCAGTACTTTTGCACAGAGATACTAAAACCAGTGAGTCATGACTGATTACTTAAAGCAACTAAGTTATTTTAAAATTTAAATTAATCAAATGCCAACAATCTGTGTCTAAGACTTCTTATTGCCATGCTCCCTCCCCTGCCCATCACCTTTCCTGAGGGCAAAGCTCTCCTCCCTGCTGTTACACTGCTCAGGAGCATCAGCTCTCCAATTAACACCACACCTTCCCCAGTACAAAAAGTAATCTTAGAGCAATTATATGAGTCATTAATAATCATAGAAACGCTACTCTGGAAAGCAGAATGCAAAACAGCTGATGCAACACTTGCTGCTGGAAGAGGCACTTGCCAAGAGTGTCCACTGAAGTCAGCATTTTCCCATTTGTACCCCTTTCCTTCCAGCTGCCATCTCTCAAATACCTACACACACAAATACCTACGCTTCTGTGAAGCACAGAAACTCACGTTTCAGACTGGGATTTTGTTCAAGGTAAGGCAATCTTGGCAGATATGACTGTAAAAGACTACTGATAAAATACTCACTGTGAAAGCTAAAAATCCCTGAACAACCAAAACTGGAGAGATATTAATTCCATATATTAATATTACTTCCATTATGAAACAATGAAACTAATTCTTTTTCTTCAGGAAAAGAAAAAGAATTGTCAGTAGGCCCTCATTGGCTGTAAATGCAGACAATTGTATTTATATTGTTAAATTATGTTTTAAACGTACAGATTTTTTATTACAAATATTGTAGTCACAGGGTAAGTGTGTCTGCTTTTCAAATAATTATTCTATGCAAAATTCTTTACCAGGAAGGTACTTCTGACAGCATACCAACTTGTACAAAAATTTGGATTAACTAATTAAATCCTGTCATCTATTAAATTCAATAGAAAGCATGTTTGCATCACATACAAATAATTACGGGTGAGTTTTATAGTTTTTAATTTTTTCCCACTCTTGTAAAGCGCTAACATGAAAAAATACACTCTTCAGCAACGTGCTCTGCCTGCACATATTGCATGGCACCAGAACTACCACATGATGTTCTCCACAATTATTGCATCTGTTGGATGTTTCTACCCTTCCTGTTGTGTACAGGACCACATCCTCTTCATATTCCCTGAGAACACAGCCCACAGTCTTTTTTTCTTTCCTGATAGATAGATAGATAGATGAGCTTGCATTTGGCTGGATTAAAATGTGCATTGAATGGAAGTTTCTGGAGTGATCACTGGTACCTTGACAGCAAGCCTTGCTTTGCAGGGAGATGTTTGCCACCGGACGCCATCTCCTCCTCAAATATAATTTTCAGCTGTGGAAAACAGCAGTTAATCTCAGTAACACGCCACACACACCACATTAGAAAGATTTCAGGTGTGCTCTGCAGACACAATGTCAGAGTGGTTTGGGTTGGAGGGGACCTTAAGGATCGTCCATTCCCTGTCACTGCCATGGCAGGGACACCTTCCACTGTCCAGGCTGCTCAGAGCCCCACCCAGCCTGGCCTGGGACACCTGCAGGGACAGCACAGCCACCGCTCCTTTGGGCAGTGTTCCACACCCTCACCACCTTTTGGGTAAAGTTAAATCTCTCCTCTTTTAGTTAAATCCTCTTTAGTTCCATCTTTTAACTAAAACCATTTTCCTTTTCCCTGTTGCTGCATATCTGCGTAAAAAGTCCCCATTTTTTTATGAAATGAAGTGAAATGCTTACAGGTACAAGAAGGCTTTAAGCAAATATATCCAGAGATGTTTCTGGGAAACCAGAAGGTGTTTTTTTCAGGTAAGCAGAGGTTAACTCTCTATATGTCAGGTTTAAAGCTGAAAGTGAGGAGATGCTGAGTGGGCAGAAACAGACCCTCTAAAGGGAAAAAAAAAAAAATCAGCAAATTACATACTGTCCTGGTTGTGCAACTCCAACATAAATGTAAATAAAAGCCTCTTTTCCTGAATGAGGGAGCATATTTACACAATCCTGTATGCAGTACTTCAATTTTCCTAAGAAACTGTGCCTTTGAATTTAGGTGTGAGAAGTGTGGATTTTAAACACTGTTTTAAGCATAAGGAATTTTAATGCTTTCATGTAATTTCTGAGGCACCAATTCTGCTATAATAACTGGATGGTCTTTCCCTGAAGTGTGTCCTGAACAAGACACAGCATGGCACTACACTGAGCCTATGCTGGAGGCACAATTTTTCAAATCTACAATTGAAATACAGTTCAGTATGAAATCTCAGCTAAAAATAACCTTAGCTATTTATATTTAATGTTTGTACGCACACACAAAAAAAGTCCATTTAGTGTACAGTCTGTTGTCTCAACAACAGTTGAGACATGACAAGAGTAAGCAATATCATTTGAAGTGGAATGTTTTATTTAAGCAGCATGTACAATTAAGCTAGTGGAAAAATATTGAAATTTCAGAAAAGAATGAAATGCCCATCATAATTTATCTTATTTCAGATTAGTGATAGATGTTATCATCTATATCTAAGAATACATTGTATGACTTACCTTTACCAAGGAATTAAACAATATCCAGCTATTTCACTATACTGTCTATTAGACAGTGAACCTAAATATCAACTTGTGTCAATATGATCCCAAAAGCTACCAGGAAGTAATCATTTACATCAACACAAACAAGATGCTTGAAAAGTCAAGTTCAGGATGATCCAGTCAGTTGCTCAGAAGCCAGTGTAGTAGTCATTTAACTGAGTCAGAAATTACTTTTTTTTTTTTATTCTACCAACCAAGTTTCAGACATCACAAATGAAATCCTGGTACCAATTTGATCATCTAAATTAAGACTTTTTTTCCTGAAGAGATTAGTCAGAGGTCAAAGAAGTTGAAACTTGTACTATTTTCCATTCATTTGTAGCAAATAAAACTAGAAAACCAGTGATCTTTTAAGATAAAATATCAACCCAAACCTAAATTTAATTCATAGTAACTATACAAGAAATTATGTTAAATGTTCTACAACCAAGTATAGCAGCCAAGCAAAAAGCTAGTTAAGAGTGGGCCTTCCCCAAAATAATTTAATACTTAGCTCTTAATAAACAATCACCAGCAAAGGAGAATACTTCACAAAACCCACAAGAGTTTTTTTGAAGGGTTAATTATAATACCATCGAAACCTAAAAGTTGCAGTGGATCTGTGCACAGAAGTTGTGGTTGCAGGAAGAAATTCAGATGGTCAAGTACAAATCTGACTGCTTTACTGTAGCGTCCAAGTGCCAACAGTGGTTTTATAAGAACTCTTTTTTCCCCCCAAGACACAGGTATTCTATACAATTATTAATCATTAAACAACCAGGTGATCACTCAGATATAAATACTTATTTTAAAAAAGCTAGGAGTCCATTTACAAATTCCTGGACTGAACATGGCATGCTGATATCACTTTATTTAAGAACTAGCTCTTGTCTCATAGGTATTCCTGTAACAATCTAGCTGGGATAGAGAGAATAGCAAGATTTCTTAGGTTAGTTTAAACTTACTCTAGACTAAACCAGACATCTGAATTAGGTGTGTGATATCCACCATCACCCCCAGAAAAATATGTCTCAATTAGCTACTGAATTTAGACTGTAAATGCCAGGATTTTGAAATTAATCTAAAGGGAATACTACAAATACATCAAACCTGCAATTTTTATAAACTTGGTGTCTGATGCTCTTTTAAAATATAAAATTAGAGTATTGAATAATTAGTGACACCCACTTACATGCATTTAATTTGCATTTTTATGCTCTGTACCATTCCTAACAAAAAAAAAGCACAAAAGTAAGAAAGAACTTTACAGCACTCATTTTATTTTTTCAGTTTGACAATATCTGTCCAGTTAGCATTCTGGCAAATAGAATTGAAGGAAATGATACAATCATGTAACCATATGTTTTGGTTTAGAGTTTAATAGCAGCTCTTAGCTTGGCCGACCTTCCTCTTGGGTTTATTTGAATATCCTTGGCCTGGGGTGTGAGAACTTTTTTCTGTATAGAAATCCACTTCGAGTTGGATTTTCCACAGGGAGATCCTTGTGCGTCTTCTCCTTTGGAGGCATTTTTCAGAGCCTGTCTTATCTTCTGCTTTGAACCAAGGTTGTACTTTTCTGTCATGTCAATGCCATGAAGAAAACGTTTGATAATACGATCTTCCAGGGAATGAAAGGACAGGGCTACAAGGCGACCTCCAGGCCTCAGAAACTTCTCAGCTGTCTTCAGCCCTATCAGGAGTTCATGGAGCTCATCATTCACAAATATTCTCAGGCCTTGGAAAGTTTTAGTAGCAACATGCACAGGTCTCTGAAGCAAGTCCTTCCGTGCGTAGAGTGCTGATGCTGGAAAAGCACCTGTCACACATTTTAAAATAGGTGTATTAATACCTTAATATTTCTACATCTTGACATCCACTCATGCAAGATGACTTTAAAGGAAAGCATAGTAAAAACTGAACCTTGAGTAGTGAGCTTCCTTCTTTGAAATATATCTTATGTTTTGAATTCACGACTCTGAACGTAAAGCCTATTAAACTAAGATGCTTTGTGGTTCCCTAGAATCTTTTAGAGAAGTTCCTTCTCCAAAAGCATCACCAATTTAAACTAAAAAATAATGGCTGAAATCAAGATAAAGAAAAAAAAAAGGACAGACAAGTCTCACCTTACAGCTCAGCGTAATCAATGTCAGTTTGGTATTTGTGGTTGTGTTACGCTTTTAAGGAAAAAAATTAATGTACAATGGATGCAATCTTACCTGTTGCCTCCCAGATAACTGCATTTCTTAACAGGCAGAGATAACTGAAGACAACACCTACCTGGTAATAACTACCTTTCAATTAATTACCTGAAGTTTAAAAGACTTATCCCTTGTTTGGGAATAGCAATTGTTGAACACTACACCTGTGATTCTTCAAATGTTCGCAAAAATATCTTGAGAAATTTAGAAAATGCAGCTGTTACTGCTGTGTTTTCACATGCCTACACAGCAGAATCTATCAAGGTTTGTCAGACCTAAAATCACCAGATTAAATATTTTTTTTATTAGATGCACAAAACTCCCTCTTCCTTTCCCTGGAATTCTTATGAGCTAAACAAGTTTTTGCAGAGACTGAAATTTTGATAGAAATTTTAATATACCAATATTAAATTTTAACCTTGAACTTTCATTACGTGGGTACAGAACAAAAAGCTAGAGAAGGCTGATTTGATAGATCAGAGGGACTAAAGTGCAAGAATCCTGAAAGATCTGTGAAACCTAAGTAAATTTATAATCTATTACGTACATGACCACAGGAGTCTGGTAGAGATAAATTGAATAAATAATGCTAGCACAAACTGGACAGTTAGTTTTCTGAACAAGAGGCAGTACAATTGGTATGTATTAGAATGCCCTAATTTCATGTCAGTGCTAAGCTACAACATAATGAAGCAAAGAGTTTGAAGTAAACATGGCTCACAATCAAGTGACTGATATTCTAGACAGTGAAGTGAAAGAGGGAATTGCTGTACCTCTGAAACCAGCTGTCTAAATTCAAATTTGCACGGGTAATTGAAAACAAATAACAGAGATATCATTACCCGTAACAGGCTTGCACAGAAGAATTTATTAGTGTAATTCTTGAGAGTTTTAAAGGTAAGACTTTACTTATGTCAGAAAGCCTAAGTGTTCACAAAGCATATCACAAACACAAAAGCAACCTCAGTGTTCAGCAAAGAGATGAAAATGATGAGATTTTAAAAGGCAATCCTTATTAACAAAGCTGTTATCACGTATGCTATGTCCCTAAAGATGTTTCTGCATAGCTGATGTTCCTACCTACCTTCCTCCTCTGATCTCCAAAGCTAACAGCTCCTAAATTCACTGAAGAGACCCCATTGTAGCTGTGGCTGCTTCCAGTCCTTAAAGTCCGAATGCCTTGAGACAGAAAGTGGCAGCAGGATTGACTTCTCCCAACAAACAAGTGCATGTGAATTTGTGGCCTGAAGCTGTCTCACAAAACAGAATAAATAGATGGAGCCTGCAGGAGCGAGGCTTCTCCATCACTTACAAACTCTAGGAAAAGCTAGCTAGTCAATGTAATTTCTACCCTTGAGAATATAATCTTCTATATTGACCATGAATCATAAAAGGGATGTGTACTCCCATTGTAGAAGTCAAAACACTCTTTATGATGAGAAACCTCAATTAAAAGGAGAGCTAAAAACCACAGAGCCTGAGCAATCCCAAGAAACAGGCATCAAGCTCGTACTTACTGGCACGGTGTGTGTTTCCATGCCTCTTTGCACACCTATAAATGAATTCTTTGAAAATGGAACCCTTGTAACAGCCACTGAGTGCCAGCTGTGTGTGGTGAGAACTGCCTCTTAGTGCACAACAAAGCAACATTGTGCTGGGCAGAACAAACAGAACCTCGTTTGAAGGTCAAGTAACAGCCAGCAGCACTGGTAGGATGCTCAGAACTATGGAATGAATCACATCAGAGGTTAGAAGAAATTCTTCCCTTTGTGGGTAGGGAGACAGGAACAGGTTGCTCTGTAGATTCCCCGTTCCTGCAAATGTCCAAGGCCAGGCTGGACAAGGCTTTGAGCAACTCGGTCTAGAGGAAGGTGTCCCTGTTCATGGCAGGGCAGTTGGAACTGGATGGGCTTTAAGGCTCCTTCCAGCCCAAACCATCCTATGAATCTAAACTCAAATTCAAAAGGCTTTGAAAAAATGTACATGGACACAGCATGCTGATATCTGGGCAGGTTTTCATTGGTCTGCTCATCAACACTGATACTTTGCAACTACAATACTGAATAGATAAAGAACAATGACACTGAGGCTACTAGCATGACTGGGACACTAACAGGTCTTTGGAAAGTTTCCTCCTACAATAAGCTTCTATGACAATTAACTCTGATATTAATTTATTACTACAAGTAATTTATCACACACTGAAGAAAAATTAATTAAAACCCAAATATATTCTGTAAGTATAGTACAACCTTATATGCCTCAGTTGAACATGCACAAAGAGCACTGCAGGTCCTATAATAAAGTACAGAATACTAATATTTGGGAAATTGGTAAAAAAAATGCAGCCACCTTGCAGTTTTATGCAACCAAACCCTCCCAGACTAAAAACAAAATCAAACTGTTTATATGTTCAAAGACTTACTGGTCTACTGTCAAAGACTGGGATTAACTAATAAATGTAATCTCTGGTTATTCTAATCTGGTTATTATTAAATATAATTTCTATCACACTGGCCTTCAGCTTTTTAGCTAAGGCAATAGATTCTGATCTATGTTCCATGGGTGAAAAACTCCCCTATCACTCTTACTCCTCTAGTTCAGCTAAATAAAAATCTATTTGTGCTTTCTGCTCAGGCACATCACTTCTCACCCAGGACTCTACTGTTACCAAGATACTTAAAGAAAATCCTTCTTAGTAACTGGCTATTCAATGCACAAAAACATAAAAAAAAAATCTGTATGGGGAGATTTTAAAATGAATTTAATTCATAAAAACATCTTCTGGCTAGATAACTGGTTTGAAATCCCAGTGAGAGAAATAGCCATTTTTACTTTTAGGATGCCCTGATGATACTTACACTTTAAAAAAATCTAATAGGTTCTTATGTTGAAACGTATTGAAATTTTAAAAGCCTGTGAATGAAATTAGCAGTCTGCTGAGCCTGTCAATATGAACTCCAGAAGTCTCCAGAGTGTAAAAATTAATTCAGAGTATGCACCTGTTTGCAGGAATTTGCCTGTTGAATTAGCACTGCATTTAATAAGCTTCTGTGACGCAACCAATGTCCTTTTGTCTAGGCTCCCTCAGTACAGTGCTAATTCTCACCCATCTGAAATACAGGCAGTATTACAAATTCCAAACTGATAATTAAAGTCTGTAAAAGTGAGCCAGTCTGAATGAAATTGACTTTACCAATTAAAGTCTTTTTTAAACTTTTAAAATTTCTTTAACAGGCCATCATAAACTCCTTTCAAATTAAGGCCAAATGATTACATGATCTCAAAATTGTCTGTTAATAGATTATGCATCTAAATAATGCTCAGAAAAAATAAATTTTGAACAAAAAAATTATAGATAAAAAGTTATATTGCACCCTGAAAAGAAATCAAACCAGACCATTAGTTGTACAGGAAAAGCATATGAAAATTGCATTCTAAAAATGTCAGCCTTTTTAATGAGTCTTCCTGCACATGCAGTCAAGACGTAGTGTTTCCAAACAACTCAATGAGGTACAACAAAAGACATCAGGAAGTGCTTCTTAATCAACTTTCACACATCTATTCACAACCCTTCAGTTGAGAACTACTGATTTTCAGAATTTACAGAGCACTCAACACTGCAAACAGCTCTGTGAACATTATAAACAGTGCAAAGTGTTTGACTGTGCTGCAGGAAAAAATGCTGTTCCCAAAACTCCTCCTACTGCAGATTCCACAGCTCCTAGAGATCTTATTTAAACAGATCAGAAGCCTTTTAGATAATATTTATAAACACCAGAAGGAAGACAAAATTTTTAATGCTGCTTTGTTTCCTTGAGGCTTTTTTAAAACTATGCCCTTGACTTTTATCTCCCAATTAATTAGGAACTGCAACACATGTTCTAACCTTTTAGGGGGTGGTAGGAGAGACCAGAAATCTAGCATTCTATAAAAATAAATTAAAATTTCCAAGCTCAGGTTAGTCCAAATCTAGATTCACTGTGATTCTGATTATCAGCTGGATCTTCAGATGAAACCTGGGAGCTGTAGAACATCTGAAGCCACAGTCATCAATAAGAAGAGAAAGAAATACAGACACTACACAAATTCTCAGATGCTGATACCCAGCTTCATTGGCTGGATTGTTTTGCTCGTGTCCTGGTTCCTATACCAGCCAAAATAACAACCCTGTTCTGGAAGATAATCAGGCTCACGAAGAATCTGCAAAATCTGAAATGCAAGATTTTATTATTCTAATGAATATTTTATTTTTTAAAGGATATAGCATTTAACTAATAGGTCATAGGTCTTACTCTAGTCAACTCCTGAATTAGTCAGTGTTTTTCTGGCCTGTGCCATCAAGAGATTCCTGTAGCTGTGGTCTTCAGCTCTAGCTTATCCCAATACCTTCACCAACATAATTTCATGTAAGAATATATATTAATTACAGATGATAAATGAATCAACATATATCACAGTTATGAAAAATTTCCTTAATATTTTCCTAATCAGTTAAAAAACTGATAGGATCCACCATAGTGCTTCCTTACTAGATGAACCAATTCAAACTGGAGGAAGTTTTATGCAAGCAGGGATCAATGCAACAGCTCTAAAATCATTACAGTCACTTGTGTACTCCCAAAAAGCACACAAAACATACATATTTATTGTCTTGGCAGATGTGTGCTGGACTCACTGTTTTTGGCACACACACTACCTGATGCATACCTGACTTGTGGATCAAGAAGCTCTTCAAATACAGCAGGGAATTTACAGTGAGGACAGAAAAACCCTTCCCATGGTCACAGAAAGTGAGGATCAACTGCTGACTCACATGCAGCATATTAAACACGAAGGGATCTCCAGTTGCTGTCTGTCATACACCTGTAATTTCATTCCCTGAATTTCAGCTATGGCACAAAATTGTTTCAGAATTACTGAGTTGCTTGTTTGTAACATGCTATATCTTTAACACATGAGACAGTGGCTTCCAACTCAGTAGTAGTACACTGTACTAATAAACACTTTTTCAGAAAGCATGGAATATATAGGACAAAGCTCAAAATCGTTATTTCAGGATATTGCTAATGAGGACATTAAAATTGTAAGGTTTATAAAAGCCTCATAGTGCATTATCTCTTTGATTTTTAATTTTTAAGATTGGTTATATTCACTATATTTTCAGCAGGGGCTTAGAACAGCAAGCAGGTTCTTTCATCTTATCAGCTAAACTTTGAGCCTTGGTTGACTGGACATTTTGCTAAAGTATCCTGACTTCTAAAATCAAGACCTTTTAATTTCTCCATCATTAAATTTAAGTGCCTTAGACTTCCAGTTTAAGTAACACAAATTTTTAAGAATACCATGAAATTTTTCATACTCTTCAGGATACCGGTAAAATATTTCACATTGTTCTTTAGCAAATGTTAAATCTGGATGAGAATTTTAAAGGTCTATATTCAAAGTCAGCAGCTTAGACTTATTCGTGACAAGATATAGTGATTTCCATCACTTGGTGAAAAAAATAAAAACATCCTGATGCTACATATTATGTTAATGCTCAGGATTCGTGTCTTGCATCTTTCCATTAAAATTTTCACTTGAGGACACAAATGTAAATGTTCTTGATGCAAGCACTGCTCCTGCCTAACTGCATTTTCTTTAAGCTGTTTACAGTGAGGAGCAAGGAAGATAAGTGTTTCAACAGTCTCTTCAGGCTTATCTAGTTGGCATGCACAAGGTGAAGCAAGCCATGTGTTGCTTTGGGGTTTCTGATTCTTTAAAAAGACAGAAATGATCTGGTTTTACTCGTAACTGGAAACTGCCATGGTACTCCCCGTTAAAATATTAAAATACAGAAATTTAAAACTAAGACAGATATGACATATCTGATATTTGAAAGGATCAATAGCCAGGATAAAGAATACCCAAGGCTGCTGTCATTCTGTGGTTCACCTTGGTTGACGAAATGATAAATCACTTAATGTTAAATCTATTATTGAACTAATTGTCAAACTACAATGCAAAGAAAGAAAAAAAAAAACAACAAAAAGGGAGCTGACATCAGAGCAGAAGGGGCAGGATTAGATCCTGCACCACTCCGAGTACAAATAGATCCCTCTGGGACTCTGCGAGGATTAATATTTCCTTTCCTCCTGCGCAGAATTAATGAGGGTACCTGCAACAATGCTTGCCAGCTGCCCGGTCCTGGTGATGGGGTAAATGCTGCGTGCCTGCACGATGGCAGCAGCAATCCTCCTGGCGTGTCTCTCCTCGCCGTACGCGCTGAGCACCGACGCAAGCGCCCGCTGGTCCAGCGCGTTCACCACATCAGCGGCCGTGGCCATGGCAGGGCACCTACGCACAGAGAGCGGCCAATTATCCTCTGACATCAGCTGCCATCCACCAGAGGTGAGCTGCCACACAGCCACACGCACACTGCCTCTGAGCTTGGCAAATCTGAGGTGGCAGCGCTGGGAAAACAGCTTGCACCTTTTAAATCACCTTCTCTCACTGGTCTAGGTGGAGTTTGCTCCCTAATTTCAATTAGAGCAGTTTTAGCTTCCAAGTGTTCTCATAAACCATGCTTAATAGTTTAGGATAAAGAATTTGTTCGGTAGTTTTTATGTTTTCTCTGATTAGTAAACCCATAGATGATGTTCATAAAATACCTTGAACTATTTCAGTAGCCAAGTGACAGAGATACAGATACATAGATTGAAGGCTTACACTGTTTAAATTGTAGTAAGTCCTGCAGTTTATATGACTAGGTCATTTCTATTATCTCAAGAGCGTATTTATATGCAGAGTCTTATGCCTTTTAGTGCAAAGTAATGTTAAATTAAGAATAAATACACTCCAGTATCACGCTAGGATGGAAATTATGTGTGACCTGTCTCTTTAGCCAGCTTTAGAATATAAACTTGCCTCTTACGGGTTCATTTTAGCCATCTTGCATCATATGCTGCTTTCTAGCCAGAAGAGATTTCAAAGATCTTTTCTTTCACATCTCCTGCTATGAAAACAGTTGCTAATGATGAAAATTTAACGTTACTTTTCATTAAGAAGGCATATGAATCTATACAGAAATACTCTCCAGAGATAAGAGAAATGACCTAGTAATATAAACTACAGGACTTACTACAATTTAAACAGTGCAAGCCTTCAATCTATGTAACTGTATCTCTGCCACTTCACTACTAAAAACGGGGTATTTTATGAACATCATCTATGCGTTTACTAATCAGAGAAAACATAAAATCTACCTAATAAATTCTCTTCTTTGCTTTCAGGCTTTTTTCACTCCCCTGCAGTATCTTACAAAAGATAAAAAACTTAGAGACAAGTAGTATCATAGCAACAACCATAGTGTAAGGCTTTTGTTATGCCTCAGGTATCCTTTGTTCTTATGCTCCTGTTCTGTGTTTGTTTTCTCACGATGCATCTGACTTATATGTAAGCCTAGAGTTCAGATTCTTGAAATCTGAGGACTGAATCCCAGGAGAATCATGGGAGCATTTTGCACAAGAGCAGAAATAGCAAGTATCATGAAATTTGCTGTGTTAAGACTTAACATTAACATGGTAAGCTGACTCCTTAGAAATTGAGGCTTCCCATTGGCTCTTGTGAGCAATGAAAGAACAAATGGCATTTCTTAAGACACACTCATCAAAACACCAAGAAAAAACTGCCATCCTCTGTCACGTAACGTGTCATGCAATCACAACCATCACCCATACACGACAGATCTTTGGTTGCTCATGCAAAAAGCAAAGAGCTGCAGAAATACATCAGGTTGTCTGAAGATGAAAAACACTGCAGAGTGGAAATTATCACTCCACGACTGATTTTCATGCTCTTGAAAGTACTAAATACCAATCCAAATTTAAACACAGGTGATTTACTCAGTAACCATTAATTTGACAATTAAGTGAGACTGATGTGCCTCCTACACAAAGAGAAAGGAAGCTTATAATTTTGCCAAGCAGAACTCACAACAAATACATGGGCATGGAAGGCAAAGTCACACCAGCACATTAAGAGCAATGTGGCTATCTGATTTAAGTTAGCAGATATAATGAATGGGATTTTATTTATTTATTTTTATCATGTTCCTTTCGCAGAGAAGCAACTGAATCAGATGGTCATTGCACACAAGAGGGATGCTGCTCCTTTCCTGAGGGAGCAACTGCACGTGCTCAAGTGAAGTTTTCACAAATAGCAGAAAAGAAAAGGGACTGCAGCAAGACGCTGTGAGCCTGCAGATCAAGTACAGGCAAACTGTGGAAATAACAGGTCTCTGAAAGAGAGATGTTCCTGTGACTGCATACCACACACTCCAAAAATGTTACAATTTAAAGGTGCAGCCAACAAAACATTACTGGTTCAATCACTTACCACTGAAACCTTCCTCTTATTTCCAAGAGGGTGAAGACAGTAACGAGGGCTAAGCACTGAGCCAGAAAAAAGCTTTTTGGCAAAAGACATGATACTCATTCAGTACTAGATGTGGTTTGAGGAAGAATTCTACATTTAAGAGGAAAGGAAATGCACAGGGGGTGCAGAGCAGACAGTTTTTGAAGTTCAAGAAGAAATGCTTTGTGATGATGTACCTGTCATGATCCATCCTCATGTCCAATGGCCCATCCTTCTGCAGGGAAAAGCCTCTTTCAGGTGTGTCTAACTGCATGGAAGAACAGCCAGCATCCAGGAGAATGCCGTCCAGACTCCCTGGCTCAACCCCAGACGAGATTAACAAAGCCTCTGACTGGCTGAACCGTCCTAAAAGAGGCTGAAGCTGCTTCCTGTAAGAAAGGAACAAATGAATAGCCCCAAGGTTAATTATAACAATGCCATCTCTCCCTCTTGCGCAGCAGGAATTAGATAATAGCACTCAACTTGTCTCAGAAGCAATAGAGCAATTCCCAAAGTAATAGTTTATGTCTTTTCATATGTCAACTGGTCAAGACCACCCCTCAGTGGCTACTTCTTGAACTCTTTACTCTCTTCCTGCTTCATCTTAAAGAAATGGAAAACTGACTAAAATTTTTTTTTTTTCAGTGTGCAGGAACTCGAGAGGACACCTTCAGCAGGAATGTCCTGACTACTGAAGTACCTGCTCTGCTTGGCAGGGCCCTTAGTCAAGCAAGACCATGGTACAGAAAAGAAATAATAGATCTTGGACATAGAGAAGCAGACAAAATGGAACAAGAGTGCACAACCTTGTAGTTAATATTTACCCAGCAGGAAAACAATTCCAAGCTCCTGCCATGGGACCAAACATGTTTTTAGTGGCATTTGTCATTTTAAAAATAATGGGAGAATGAGGTGCCCTGAATCACAAGCAGGTAAAACACTTAGTGCATTTTGGATTTAGGCACCTGATCACTGCAGAGAGCAGTTTAACATGCACTCTTGTGCTTACTGCCCTTTCCTAGATTTAAAATGGTTGTTTCTCAATATTCTCATGCTGATAAGGAAAAGAGGAATAGCAAGGGAGAAGAGAAACACATCTTGGACACACAAATGTGTTCAACCACACAGAGCCCGGGAAGTGTTTGGAGAATGCTCCCAGGCACAGGATGGAATTCTTGGGTTGCCCTGCCAGGAGCTGCACTCAGTGATCCTGTTGGCTCTGCTCCAGCTCAGGCTACCCTATATTGTAAATGCAGGTGAACCCGGTGGGAAGAAATGCTGATGTCTGACTCCAGTTCAGAAGGCTGAATGGTTTCTTTATTATAACTATACTATAATACATTAATATACTAGTTAAAGGAGATACTAAAACTACATATCTACTTTTTTAACTGCCATATCTAACTCACAACTCACGCCCCTCTCGCCAGAGCCCAGCCCTAGGTGGGTTGGATTGGCCACCAGACTCAAACAATCCTCACCAGAATCCAACCCAGCACTCACTCCAGGTAAACAATTCTCCAAACACATTCCACATGGGAATAACAAGGAGCAGAAATAGAATTTTTTTTCTCTTTCTTTCCTCTGTGCTCCTCCATGAAAAAATCCTGAGAGAGAGAAGAATGTGCCTGCCCAAACTATGATTCTGTGACCTCTGAGGTTTCCAGGGCTCTCTTGGGTATCTAATCCCAAACTTCTTGGTTTTGCCTCTATGTAAGCCGACTTAAAATTACACCATTTATTTTATCTGTCTCTCAAAATCTAGATGGATTTCACAGACTTAGAAAGATTAATCAACATATTGCTGCATTTTTAAGCACTACCTGCAAAGCAGAACACATTTCTGCCCATACCAGGGAGCCACTGCCTCCATGGGGAGAGAAAAAGCTCCATTAAAAGGAAGACACTTATGAATCCAAGCACATGGAAGAACACTCAGCTACACAGTGCCCTCCTCATTAGAGCAGAACAAATCCACCTACTAAACACAGCACAAAACCTGGGAAACGGTGTGAATGGACAATTTCCATGAGGGATATTATGATGGCACACACAATTTGGAATTGATTTCTGTCCAGCCCATAAGTGAACACAGCTATTCAGCATAATAGGAACTGACAGCTCCTGAAAAGCACAATGAGCCACTTCAGATACTTAAACCAATTTAAGCCAGATAGTTATATAGTTTTGAGATTGGATTTCCTCCTCAATATAATGAGGGGAATTTTACTGAAAATGCGTACCACTTTTTCCAGCTGGGCAGTGTTTCCACCTTCGTGACTCATGCAAATGAATGAACTTTAAAATTCCATGTGTGGGAGATGAAAATAAATGTGACCTGGATAAAACTATAAATTGCTGTAGTCCAGTTCCCCAGCACAGTAATCCACGTCAGTGGCTCTGAGGTAGTGCTCTACCAACCTACCTGAAAAATTCCTCTGAACACCATTTATTTATTGCTAGAAATTTCCTTACATTTCTTTAAACAAGTCATATACATGGATAGCTAATATGTTCGTGACAGGTTTTGATTCATGATCCACCAAACTTTTGTGATAAAAAAAGATTAATTTAAAAAAATTAAATTTTGAGTAAGTAGAAATTTCCTTTTTGGTAGAGATGCTTCAGCTGGAAAAAAATTTTGGCACTTGCAAATAAACAATAAAGATTGAAAAATGATTGGGCTGACACTTCATGTCAGTCTTTCAGCTGTGTGAAATTATACCTTCTGTGTTTGTTATGCACTGCCTTGTGTGTGCCAGTGGTGGACACAGGCATCTTGTTGATTATAAATTCTCACTGAAACCAGATGCTTTTCATGAGGTTATAAGGACTATATTACAATGTTCAGGCCAGCTCTCTGGATTCCTAATTGTCTGTGGAACAGAAGACAAAATTTTAAGTATCTTGGCCACCTCTTACACTTCAATTAATCACACCAAGTACATAGTGATGAAAGATTTATTACCTTATGAAAGGAAACACAAATATCAACTTTTTTTGATCAGGCAGTAACAATGATAGTGATGAAAAGGACTAATCTATTGGATTATAAGCATGACACATTTATTTGAAATAAAATATTTTACCAAGGATTCAGAACATTTGTTAGACAATAAAGAGACTCTCCCCTCATCTACCATTCTTTATGCCTATATGCAAATAAAAACTGCCTGTTACACACAGGATTTCTCAAAATATTCTTAATTTCCCCTCAACTTCCTTTTGACTTCGGGTTTTTATTTACATAATCTGTAAATCCACCTTCCAGAAAAATCTCAAATAAATAATAACTAATGAACAGTTAAATAATGAACTATGTTAAAAAAAAACTTTATTTCCTACAGTCACATGCCTTCTGCTCTATTTAGGTATGCAGAATTATTTGCACTTTCTTTTTTTCAGTCTTCCAATGTTTTCTTTGGTCAATAGAGGATTTATGTTCTATGACATACTTACCTAGTGTGAAAATCTATTACCCTGTCTTAATATATTGCAAAAACAGTGCTTAGTGGAAAAAGCAGGCAAGGTAAACCAGGGAACACCTGTAAATACCAAGAAAAACAGCCAAGCTTACAGCTCTAAGAAGCCTGAGATGAGAGAGCACATCAAAACATCACTGAGCAAGACTGAAGGGTCATTTGCATCACCTCCTGGGGACACCTTGGAAAGCTGCTGGGAACACAAAGGGTCACTCCAATCATTTCAGGCAGTCTTAGAAGCTTAAAATCTGACTAAACCAAGTTGCCTTACTTAAGAGAAAATATTTAAACTTAGTACTTGAGCAGCATTTTATATATTCAGAATATTTTAGAAACAAAAAAACTACGAAGAGCTTTTAGCTCCTCTCTTATAAATGGAGAAACAAGACTTGTAGGGTTTAATATTTAACAACTTGCAGATATCATGTAAAAAGCTAAGAATTTCAGAAACTATGGTCTGAGGATGTAAAAAAGAAGAAAATACTGCCATATGAGCTCTCATTTGAGGGGGTGTGCATGAGGTAATAGCATGGCAATTTTTCAGCAAATTCCCAACTGCTACAGACAAGCAATCACTAACTTCCCAAACTATTCAACATGTTCACTCCTTCCTTAGTAATCATGACATTCTACAAAAAAAATGTATATAAGATTTCAAAAAAAAAATGGGAATATGGACAATCTAGCCTACTTTAAAAAGAATAAAAGGTCATTTACAATTACTAAGGTTGTGGGGCCTTAATAGATTTTCCTGTGCGACAGTTTCAGAAGCTTGCAGAATTCTTGGGAAATATCACAGCTGGAAAATAATACAGAACTTTGGGTTCAGGTCCTTTGTTCAGGTCATAACACAGTATTTTATTATATTATGACACATAGTATAGTAATTCTGCTAGAGAGGACTTGATCCACACTTCTCAACCACAGGAAAGAGCAGAATGAGAAAGGGTTTAATATCTCCTCCTAAAGTATTTCAGTTTATTTCTAGTATTCTGCAAAGCTTTAAAAAATATTTATTTTTCATTTACTCAGTTGAGAGGGATCCACACAAGAGAAAAAAGTAAAGCATTAACACCACTTCAATGAAATAAATGGAATCTTTTCTCTCATCTAATTTCTCTTGACTGTCACAGACATTGACATGCCATCAATCATTGAAGTAATTTCACAGAGATGTACAATGATGCTTTGATGGTGCTTCAGCATTTTCTTATGTATAAACAGTAATACTTGCTCTCGATGTTTCACTATCGCTCCACTTAAAAATTCTGTGTACAAACACACAGCGATCCCCTGCCAGCAGTGAAAACTACATTTCACTCAACCAGAACAAATGGTTTCCTCAGGAAAACAAAAGTTTTTCAGCTAACTCTTGGCACTGCACATCAAACAAGGAGTCCAATGTGGTGCTTTGATGCAGTAACTCCAGGGGCACTGCCACCAGGGATGCCAAGCAGCTCCAGCTGTAATGAGGACACTGGTACAGCCCTGGTTTGACACTGACTCATCCACAGCTGGCAGACTGCTGCAATTTTCACTCATGGCTGCATTGCTCCAGGCACACCTAGAAGCAAACGATGAAGTATTCCAGCCATAAATCCCAGGAACTTTCAGTATCCTACCTGGGAATTGTCGTGTATTACTGCACCTCCGTGTAGCACCCCTCTCAAAAATGCATCTGAAAACTCTGTAAAAGTTACCTTTACCAAGTTACCTTCATCAAATGGAAATGTGGCATGGTTTTCACGCTTGCCAAGTGTGCTGGTTTTGCATGCCCTGGATTTTGGTAGTGAGGGGCACAGAGATGGCTCCTGTGAGAAGCTGCAGGAAGCCTCCAACACATCCCTGGTGGCTCAGAGGATGGACCTGCTGCTGGCCAAGGCTGGGACAAGTAGGGATGGTGGGAA